GGATGCCAAAAATCACAGCGCCAGTCTTGCCAGATATCCAATCACGTAGTTTTGGTGTCAAGCCCTCCTGTCAAGTAACATGACTGCTGCATGCTGTGGCCTTCCAGGGTGTCAGAGTTGTTGACCTTTAGCTGGAGACGCGTTCGAGGAGACACGGTGATGTACACCAGATTGTCAGTAGGGTTATTGCAGAAACTTAGTCTGTCATTAACTAAAAATGCAAAAATACCTTTGACTCAACGTTTTCTAAGAACGCCTTGTGTTCATCACTCCCGTAACTTCAGACAGATATGGTCCCTGTCGTGCATTTTACAGCGGCCTTTATACAAAGTTAATAACCAGGTGCTTAGTGTTCATTTCAGTCTTGTTCTGGCCTTTAAGGCTGTTCATGTTATTTAAAGAACCGTGATGTCAGAGGCAGACAGGTTTATGAACTGTCGGCGTTGTTAACTGTCTGATAAGCTCAGACTAAAAGGAAAACACGTGTCGGCTTTACATTACTAGTAGAGTGATTAGTCACTGAGCCCCTCTGTGGATCCATTGTCTGCGCTCACTGGTGGAAATACAAACACAAACATCTTATTTCTGCACTAGCCAATTGCTTCTTATCAAATAAAGATATATTATTAATTTAGTTTATAAATTTCTTGGCATTAATAAATACCCATTTTTTAAAATATTTTGTTTTAATATGCAGAGGAATTAAATTCATGTTTAGGCTCACAAAAATTACGATTCCAGGAAGCTCAAAAAGAAGGTGGGCCACGTTCTGGTATTACACACCTTTGTTGTTCTTGCTTCAACAGGGAAATAAGGAATTTAGAGAATTACAATAAGGGGTTGGAGGGCTTTTGCTATTTTTTTTGTTTTGTGTCTGGAATCTCAACCATTTTTTTTAAAAAGGCTCTTCAAGTAACTTGCCTAATGCTCAGGTCTTCTGTCATTTTCAGTCTAGTCGATGTCTTTAGAAAGCTTGTGCGGGAATATGACTTATTTGAATAAGTATATTAACTCTTTTTAAACAGGCTTGGTTCATGGTTAAATAATTTGTAAGTTCACCCTTTTGTCGATTTGTAACAGACACGGCGGTCAGTGTTATGTATTTAGCTGCAAAATTATGGCGTTTGGATTTGAAAATTATAATCTAGGCTACATATCTACTGTGTGTGTGTGTATATGGAGAGAGAGATTTCTAAATTGATGGATAGAGATTGATTGATGGAGATAGATGGGTGGATGGATGGATAGAAAGAGATATAGATGGATGTGTGTATATATATATATATATAATTTGGACAGAGATCCATCAATTTTAAAGTGTGTAAAGCAATCGTGTCTTTAAATGGGTCTTGTATCTCATCATAACTTACTGTATGTAGATGTTGGCAGCTCTTTACAGCAAGAAAAGTTTGACCCTATAGTAGCTCAAATTCAGCAGGTCCGAAAAACCAGCTTGGCACAATAATTATTTCAAATTATATTCCTAACACATCCTAAGCACCTGGTCCAAGTGCCGAAACTGAATTAGTAATACGTATATCTTTATCGTGTTTACTTTTCAAACATGCAGAGGTTGAATTTGACAACTTCTGTCGATTACTAATTGAGCTGAAAATAGATGGCTTAGTCTCAACTATTCACAACAGTTCATTCTCTGCTGGTAGTTTGTAAATACTGTATAGTCATTCTTTAACATTAACTCCTGTTTTTTATTGTTGCTGGTAGTGACAAATTGCACTATAAAAAGTCAGAAAACTGTGCCTTTGTTCCCATAGCTAAAGAACATGTTGCCTCACGGTAATACGTTTTTTTTTTCATATGTTCATGTACTGAGCTATTACACATTAGCCCAATGCCTCAGAGGCACATAAACAGATTAAACTAACAAAAGAAATCGAACAAAAGCTAAACCAGAACACAGAATCAGAACTGATTCAACAATCAGAAAAAAGTACCATGTAAAAGTGCAACCTAATCACTTTTTCTTTACATGTAATTTAATCTGTGTGTGTGTGCTTCTGAGACTAAATTGGACACCAGGCAATTCCCAACTTTCCACATCTGACAGCGGGGTGGCACAGTAATACCCATGCTTTTGCCACTGAGGCTACAAATCCCTCAGAGATTAGTTATAAATATTCACACATGTGAAGCATATGCAGTTGAAACAAATACAAAAAATTGCTGGTTGTATTGTAAGTAGTTTCTTCCTTATTTGGTTTATTGACAGTAGGATGGAAAAGGATTAACAAAATAACTCTTTGTTAAGGCAGAGTCACAGATTGCACTGCTGATGACCTCATGTTTTTCCAAAGCAACAGACAGACTGGAAACACTTTGCACTGCTTTGCACAGCACCAGGCGTTCAGCTTGTCAGAGATAACCAGGTCATTTGCATTCCTTTGCACAGCTTGTTTTAACATGGGCAGTGCTTGTCCACCAAAGCCGTTTGCCCCCAAAACATGTGGTTTGTGTGGTATCAGCTGCAGATAATGCCTGCCTGTGGAGCCAATATATGAAGTGGGGAATCAAAGCTGCAGCAGAGGTTGAACTTAACCTAAACTGAAGTGTGTCTGGATAAATCAGGCGTTTTCCTGAAATATATGAATATTTACTTTCAGCCACGAATGGCTTGTTTTGCAGTGAAGTTGTGCAAAAGAGATGCACAGAGATATTCTTTGCTATATAGTTTTGAATTTGGACAATCCTTAGTCTGCAACATGCCATTTCCCTTTGTACTTATAACTTGGCAGTATCTGCAGTCCGCAGCACTGCAGCTTTATTATAGAGGAAAAATGGGTGGGAGGAAGCAAGATCCACATGCCAAACGCTGCAAAACTCAAAACCAAAAGTACAGACAAACACAGCAAAGGAAGCAGATGCTTTGTCCCAATTCATTTTGGTGTAGTGAGTGTAATAACCCACCGCTACACTCCCTTTACACCAAGAACCTTATGGTTTGTCATGGAGCGTAAACGGCTTTCTCTTGTGGTCAGTCAGCTTGTGTTTGCCAGCTCATCTGTTTCTCTCAGAGAGGTTCGGCATGGGAACTGCACTTTGGTGTGGACTGCGGAGGAAGTACTCAAACAACATGAACAACATGAGCTCAGTACTGACTCATGGGAAGACTAAGGATGTCAAGAGGTGTATGTGTGAATTGAAAGGACGTTTGTGTTCTCATGTGAATCCCTTCATTTCAGCTGCACATCACAGTGTTTTCAAAAAGTCTTCAGAGATTATTGACTGTGGCCATCTTGCTCTGTTTGATACCAAAAACTGGGCTGGTAGTATAATTTACTCCAGTGAGAGCCTCGTGAATTAGCAAACTTGTTTATTGACTATGACATTTAGGCTGAAAGCTTGTCTCCGCTCAATAAGAGTAAAATGATAGGTTGCACCTGCAAGTTATCAACACCAAATATTACTCTCCATTCCCACTTGACAATACCCTGACTTTAGAGATTTCATTGACTGGTTGAATGATGGTTTATGCTTCATGGATTTCCATTTATTGGTCTGAAGTGAAGTGAAATGACAAAGCTCCATTTCTTTCGCTTGGCAAAAATGGTTTTGGCCTCTTCGCTCTTTAAGGAAACAGCTTTCCGCACAGTGGCAGCTCAATGCTCCATTCTCACACTGCTATGAGTTCATATATTTAGGAAATGCTATGAAGGAAAATTCCCCATCTGGCCAGGAAGTGTGTGAAACACAATATGGGTTCAATTTTTCTTAAATTCCAACATAGTTCCATGAAGACATATAAACAAAGCTTCTGGTCTTTTTGCCCCGCTTGAAAACATTTTTTTTATTCTCATCAATTCCCCACTGGTCTGTTTATTCAAGGTTCAGCCTTCAGTAGTTAAGAGAACAAGAGGAAATAGTTGGGTTTTCCATAAACTGTACAGTGTTGCATTTAGGCCATGTCAGTAGTGATTTGTAGCAGTCCTTTTACTGTACAACGCTACTCGTTGTTTTAGCCTGGGAGTAGAAACGCAGACATCTTAGCTATATTTTATTAGGGCGTGGATAAATGTGTTTTCAGTGTTGATGAACAGTTAGAAAATCATATTTATGTGTTTTGATCCTTTGACGACGTCGCTATGCAACTTTGAGACACTCCATTCATTAAAGCAAGCATTTTATCCAAAATAATCCATCAACATGAAACTGTAATTTTTTTTGTACAGTTGCCTCATTATTATAATATACAACAAAACTAAAAAAAGTGTCTGACACTCAAATCCTTGTTGTGTGGAAAACTTTATATCTGAGAAAATAATAGCACACGTAACAATAATCACTAAGTCCAACAAAGTTCAGTCAGGTCATCTGGATGGGTTCTTTTTTTGTTGAGACGTTTCATCCAAAGGACTTCAAAACGTCAAAGTTCATGCTCAACCACAGTTTGAACCACTTTGGCTATGGCTGCCTCAGAGGAGTCAACAAGGGGAGACGGCGGGCCCCAGAAACCATCTTATCACCAGCAAACTGGTTGGCCCACTATGTGAATGTGCTGCTTGTGGGACCGAGCTTATTGTGGCTCCTCGGACTGATGAAGGACGAAACGTGTCAACAAAAAAAATAAACTGTCCAGATGACCTGACTGAACTTTGTTGGATTAAAAAAAAAAAACTTTTACTTTAAATAATCACATACAGAGAAAAGTGAACGGAGAAACGTCAGTTTCATGTGATTGGTACTAATTTTGTTAGTGAAATAAATATTTTTATTATTTCATTGTGTTCTTTTTCTTCCCTCTGTTATGTTGCACTGATATTTTGGTGGCTGAAGGAGAAAATGAGGCGGGGATATTCAAAATGATGCAGTCTGAACCTTTGCTGATTAATGTAACCAAATCTTTACACGGCTCCTTTAACTAATCTGCCATATTTGATTGGATTAAAGGGGTTGTTGTCTGTTTTTAGGTTTTTCTTTCCATACATGTTACTATTTCTGACGATTATTATTATTTTGTCTGTGTTGCTCTCTTCTGTGCCTAGAATCTCCTCAGTTGTCCTCTCCTCTCTCCACCGGCGACCATGTTCAGGATAATGACGATTTGGGCCCGGACTATTACAGTCGGGTTTCTGCAGAGCCGCTGGACAGAGAGCGTGAACGTCCAGTGAGCCTGGTGTCCACCCTGTCCTCTGGTTCATCCCGCGATAGTCAGAGCCTTTTTGGAAGTACAGCGGCCCTTCCATCATCTACCACACCTCCCATACCATGCGAGGAGGACATAGATCTGGAACTGAGCCCAGCTGAAGGCAACAAAATGCAGGCTGGAGATCAGAGTCCAATCCTTGCAGGTTTTCGTGGTCACTGGCGGGAACAGCAAGAGGTCGATGTGATCAACAACCAGTGGAACAACAACAACGCCACTTCCAGCAGGAAGGCAAGCGGTAGACTGCCTCACATCTCCGCTTCACCTGTTGTCACGGATACCATGGCGCCCGACCCAAAGCTGACCTATGTGGATCGTGTTGTCATGGAGATCATTGAGACCGAGCGCATGTACGTCAAAGACCTGCGCAGCATCGTGAAGGTGAGTGTCAGGATCTTTATGTCCAGGTCTGCAAAGCTTTCACTTTGACCCAACTGTTTTGTGATCATGTGTATTCAAAGATCATTTCTGACTTGGACTAACATGCTCCTGTGACATAACGTCTGCAGCGGCGTTCCTTAGAAGTTGTACATTGACTTTGAAAAGCCAGAAACCAACACAGTGATTTTACACAGCCTCTTGAAACTATAGTGTCTTCTCTGTTCCAAGCAGCTGTTTGTGAATAAAATTAAGTATTTTGGAACATCCAATGGATTTTCTCTTTTCCTTTAAGTGTCCATTATGATTTCCCAGTTCATAAAGATGAAAGCTGTAGAGCAGTTAATGGTCTGTTGGCTCTTTTTGTATAGGATATTTGGACTCAAAATGTGACGGTGTAGGATATCTTAACATGAAACATCCAACATGTTTTAAAAAAAACCTCATCTTGTTGATGTGAAAAATGAGGAAGGGATTTTTTTAAAAACCATGCATTGTAGTTTAGTGATTGATTCCAGATTTACAACCCACTATTACCATCAGTCTTTATTCTCTATTGCAAAGATGTAGGAGCACTCAGGAGTGAGTCTGAAGAGAGTAATGGCTTTAACATGTGAGGCATTTCTGAGACTGACTGGCAGTAAAGCAGCTAGCACCCCTCCTCACCTTGCCTCAGACTGTTCTGGCGTCTAGCATTTGCTGTGGGAGGGTGTGCTGCCCTGGATCCAGTTTGAGTAATGGCTTGCTCCTGACAGACACTTCTAGGACTCTTTAAGTTGACGGGAGCGGCAGCGCAGCCTGGTCTGGCCTTGGTCACAGTAGACCCAGCTTCGCCTGAACTCTCAGGTTCTTCCAGCCAACATAAACACCTCCGTCTATCCACCAGCTGAAGAAAAAAAAAAACACAGATGAAAGTGGTGGAAGTGGGATTTCTGTAGGCCAAAGTGTGGGAAAATGGCTGAGCACAAACGTAGCCTCTGTCCCTGTATGATTACAGTCTGGCTTCAATCATTTTGATTCCATTCAACTAATTTCACACCCAGGCTCGGAGCTGTCAGAGATATGCGAACGCTTCAGTTTGGCATTGTTTCTTTATAAAAAAAGCTAACTCAAATCTTCCTCTTTATCCTGGCGCTGAGCTTATGAGCAGCTGTTGGACGTAGTGTTTTTACTCGCGCTCACTCAACTTTCTGTCCAGATTTGAGCCCTTTGACCCCAGCTGATTTCACATGGAAGAACACGCCCCGAGGAACCATGCACAGCGTTTTCTGAAACAAGGCAGTTGTTGCTGGTGCCAATTATTTTCAGAGCCAGTTGGTCGTTCTTTTTCTTCTGTAGGATTTTTAACGCTTAAAATTGATTTATAATACCTATATCAATGTTACAGCCCAGGCTGTGCTGTAATAAAGAACAGCTTGTAGCACTAGAAGATACTAGACCACCATATGCCACATTAAATCTCAGTACGCTGAAGGTCATGTGTTCAGTGTAACGCTTTGGGGGAGACAGTTTATTCTTTTGTTTTTTGGGACTTCCAGCTGGAATTCATTCTGTAATGGGAAGCGATTACTCTACTTTTAATCCGACGGGCTTTGTGTGTGTTTGCAAGACATTATTTTTAGGGATCTAAAAAAGTTAAGTCAGGTCCTCTGGACGGGTTCAAAAAACAAACAAACAAACAAACAAAAAACCAAACCTGGATTATTGATGTTTTTAGGGATGCACGATATTGGATTTTTGGCCAATATCTGATATGCCGATATGCCGATATACTAAAACTTATTTGGCCGATAACCGATACCAATATTTTTTCCTCTAGACCTACTTACAGAGACTACATAGCTTTCTCTGCTGTGGAATTAAACTACTTCATTATTCTGCATGGTCTTTGTCAATTTGGCCTGCTACCAAATGCAGATGCCACAAAGGGGCCTGAAAATGATGTAACACTATATAAATGTATAATGAAATAAAAAAACAGGGCCTTTTATATTGGTGAGTTATTTTGATGGAATGGCCGATGTCCGATATTTAACTTTATCGCTAATATCGGCCAATACGATACCATGCCGATAATATTGTGCATCCCTAATTATTTTGGATGTTGTGTATGTGCGAGGTACTGATCTACTGTTTGTTTAGCTGCTGCTTGTGTGTATTTTTGTCCCTCTTTAACCCGCTTCTTTACTTTTGTTGGTGTTGTTTGTTTGCCATGTACGTGTGTAACTGACTAAGACAGTGGGAGTAACATCCAGATAGATTTTAGTATCTACCCATGTCCTTTAAAAGAAAATCAGAGCTGGAATCTAGTTCGAGTATTGCTGAGCCTCTTTGAAGTCTCATTGTTTTCTGTTCCACGGAGCAACCCTTAAAAGGATCTTCCAAGTATGACCTAAACTTGTTGAATTATGATCCTCCATTTTCCTGTGGGAAAACATCTTGTGATTCAACACCTGTCTTTAAAAGAAAATCTGATTTAGATTGTGTTATAGCTCTTAAGCTGTATCAGCTGGATTCAGCTGTCATGAGGAAACTCAATGTGGAAGATGTAAGGCGTTTGAGTGAAAAGGCGCTTTTGTAGTTACCGGTACGTGCTCCCTCTCTGCTGGTAGGAATCTGACATTGCATGTGCAATATTTAACCACTGAGGTTTGAATCTCAACCTCTGTAATTTTTTTCCCAGGACTATTTGGCACACATTATCGACGTGGGCAGCCTTCCTATACAGCCTGAGCAAGTGTGCGCCCTGTTTGGAAACATAGAGGACATCTATGAGTTCAACAGGTAAATCATTCCAATATTCACACATATATTTACTATTCCAAATATGTTTTTTTCTTATTTAATACGTACAGTTTAGACTCATGTTAAAAACTGTTAGTGGTGGGTTTTTTTTTTCAGTAAGTTTACTTTGATGTGTCAGGAGTATGAAATGTTGTTGTTAGATAATGGAGCATATTGTGCAATAAAAAATGGATGATGCTCGCCTGCTGTTACCCAACTTGCATTTTTGTTGAGTGACTTAAAGTTGTGCAGAGATAAAAATGAACAACTCTCACCACAGGAAAGACAATGTTGCAGATAATAAAAGGCACAGAAGGTGTTGGTGCAGCTGGATTTGCGTTTCGTCGTAATATGTCAGCTAGCACCCATTGCTAAACGTGCTGGTTGCCAAAATACACATTTAGGCTCTTGTCTCATCTCATAGTGAGCAACCACTCTTGTAATATCATATCAGACAGCCCTAAGGCTAACAGTTTTTATCTATGTCTTTTTGATGATATTTCACAAAGTCTTAAAGTTTGAGAAAGTACATTGACACGTTATTGAATTAAACGAGCCAAACACAGTCATTTTCCTAGAAGGAATGTTTTATTAATATTAGTTTCTATGGGGAAATATTATCAACGTGTAAAAAGGCTCAGTGTTTGCTTATGATTGCAACAGAGTGTGCAAGGGAGGCCATCAAAAGTAAATCAAATTTATGTACTGGTATATACAGTCCTATGTACATGGTACCATTGAGTACAGGTTGTTCTTTTACCCAAGTTGCTCTAATTCAATTGCACAGTTGCTTCATAATATTGACAATTTATCAGCGTTTAGTAGTTTGAGTTGCATTAATTCAAACTTTAATACTTCTCTTCTCAAACGGCTGTCCTTGCTTCTCTCCCAGCTGTAAATATTGTTGACAGAGCAATCATCCTGTATGAACAAATGCCACCAAATGTCATAAAATCTTCTCCACCTGATCATTTCTCATTGTAAACGTCGACACATTTGTTTCGTAGTTGGTTTCCTTTGAGTCTTTAAGCTTTGGAAGACATTTTGTTGTTGTTGTGAGGTTGTCAGAGGTTTAAGTTTGTTAAACTCTTGAGTAAAGCTGGTTTTTAAAGTAAAACTGTGATGTTTTCTGTAACTTTTTACATGGTGGAGCAAAAGCTGCTGTTTAACAGTGTATGCTGCCCTCTGCTGCTGATTTTACTAACAGCAAATAAAAACAATGTCTACCCAAAAACCAATACAAAAAAATTGTTATTACCACTATCCGTTACTACTTTATTTTTGTTTTTTTCTGGTCTGATAGTACTGTTATAGCATTCCAACACCAAACCTTTACTTTTTTAAATTTAATTTCAGTGAACTGCTGCAGTGCTTGGACTTGTGTGAGAACGACCCTGTGTCCATCGCTCAGTGTTTTGTAAATAAAGTAAGTAAAACTATCGTTGACACTTAATTCAAGCTACATTAATTTGTCAAAACTGCACACTAATGATGCCAGATTGGTATTTTCCTCAGAGTGAATACTTTGAAATCTACACCCAGTATTGCAATAACTATCCGAAGTAAGTTGCTTGATGTTCTTTAATTTTTTCCCATTTTTATTTTATTTTATTTTTTTTTAGCACACATGCAATATACTTTAATGTAATTTGTTATTCGCAGCTCAGTGGAGGCCCTGACCGAGTGCATGAGGAGTAAAACTTTGGCCAAGTTCTTCAGGGATCGGCAGGCTGCGCTGAAACGTTCTCTTCCTTTGGGCTCCTACCTGCTGAAGCCGGTTCAGAGAATCCTGAAATACCACCTGCTCCTCCAGGTACAGAGCTTTAAAAACAACACTTCCTGGTGCATTTACGTCTCCCTCTGACTCATGTCGTTTTAAATCACTTGTTACACGCTGTTTGTTGCTCATGAAAGGCAAGTTGTGCAAATAAAGATGGATTTTGTTTAGTTATGTTATCGTAGTGTTCTTCCAAATGTTCCAATTGTCCTAAATTTCTGTTACAGGAAATTGCAAAGCACTATGACCCGGATGAGGAGGGATATGAGGTTGTTCAGGAGGCCATAGACACCATGACGGGAGTGGCCTGGTACATCAATGATATGAAGAGGAAACATGAGCATGCCGTCAGAGTGCAGGTCAAACAAAACGGCTAAACGCACATGCCACAAAACATCTGAATCAACAAATTTGTCATTTTTATGTCGTGCTACATCACATGAACATGCCTGTGCTCGCATGTAGAGGGTTGCAGTTGTAGACTAAACAGCAAAAAGAAGTTGTTTCATCTTAAAAAAATATTGTGTGAACGCTTATGAAGCATTCATACTATTGTGATCCATTTTTCTTCTGTATGTTTTTCGGCATCTTTTTTTTTTCCCACAGTTTTTGAAGCTATTTCAACAAATCGTATATCAAAACGTTCAGCTCTTCCAGGACAATCCTGCTATGACTTTTGGTATTCGTGCAGCTTTAGCTTTTTGAAATATTTAGCTTTTTCTGCCACTTTTTTCACATAGAAAATGAATGGAGCTCATTCTACATTCTTCAAATCTTTAGATCTGTTTACAAACTTTTACTGCTCCTTTCACATTTTGTTCTGGTTCAGCTTCTTTCAGCTTCGTTGTGCAAATTTAAACTTTCTTTCAGCTAATTTCAGCTGTTTTGTCAGCTGTTTTGTGCTCCTTTCTGATTCTTTCTGCTAACTATAACATTTTTGTGCTTCTTGTAAGTTTTTTCTGCTAATTTTAGCTTGTTGTGCTCCTTTCAGCTTATTTATTCAATTTTCAGCTTTTTCTGCCATTTCAACTACTATTTAGCGTTTCTTATGCTAATTTTAGCTTCTTTTTTTGTCTATTTCCACATTTTTGCACTCATTTAAACTTTTTTCATCCTGATTCAGCAAAAATGTGCTCTCTACTTCCTTTTGGTAATTTAAGCTTCTTTGTGCAATTTTTTTTTGCTTTTTTTGCTTTTTGCTTCTTTCTGCTAATTTCAGCTTCTGTCAGCTTTTTTTCTGGTAGTTTCAGCTTTTTCTGCCTTTTCAGATACTTTAGCTGTTTTGTGCTAAATTTAGCTTTTTCAACTAATTCCACTTTCAGCTGTTTTTTTGCTAATTTCAGCTTTTTTTTTTTTTTTAGATAATATACACTTTAGTGAGCATTTCTGCTTGCTGCTTTCTTCTGCTAATTTAAGCTTGTTCTACCTTTTCAGCTACCT